GTACGTGTGTATGTATACGCCAGACCGTCACGTATATTAACACAGACTGATATGAATACGCACATCTTGCTCAATTTGATTCTTATTGTGATGTATACATGCTCCCAAACACTATTCGTAGGATTTTGAAACGTAGTTAAAAATGAATAGACAAGCCTGTATCGCCCGACAGTTTCGTGACGACTATTTGCGACTACTTTATAAAGCTATATGCAATCCCATATATTGTCTACGTCAATATGTTTTATGCTTCTGTGGTTGGTTAAAAGTGTGTCCGTCAACAAGCGATCTTGTCTCGGAGTTCGGTATTATCTTGGAAGATAATATAGTTACATTTTTTAATAGTGTGCCAATGTACGACTGAACGCACAAATGTACATACCTGTGGTAATGTATAACAGAAAGGCGCCTGCAATAGTGAGGACATACAGAGACGCCATCTGTCTGTACGGATCATCACGAGGAATCGTATGCGTCGATAATGACTTCCAAACATCATCCAGCAGCAGATCATCTGCAACATCTAAAACTACGTCCATGTTGTCGCGGTTCCTTGCGATATCGTAAATATGCGAGTGGTGGGTTTATATTCTCTTCTATGTGTAGCTCCGGTTGTAAATTGTCGTTACTATTAAGCAGTACATCCGTTATATTACCATGTCTCACATTACATATATATATTTACACCGGCAAACGAACACTGTCTTTTAAAATAGTATCAATATGTGTATAAAAGGCGGTGCATATATATTTAGAGTACGTACACTTCCCAAAGTTCTAACACATGACGATTATGAGCAGAAGTAATAGTTTGCTACTATGTAGGCTGAGGGCTGATCTGGCACTGATTGGAGAAATGAATAAAAAAACTTCGGAATATTCATATATAAAAAATTCGATAAAAAAAAATTGAATAATCTTAGATGACCTGGTAAACGACAATAGCTGTTTTATTTTATATTTTTCGACCAGGAAGTACTTTCTACCTTGAAGTACGTCGCTCACTGACTCTCACACCAGTTCATATTGTTGGATATGCCTTGTCGTTAACCGTTCCATTGTATGTATCGGTCATACGATCTCAGTGTCCAATGAAAATGAAATATTTAATCGACATCAAAAAGATTACATAATATAAAAAGAGAGTGATCTGCGAAGTGACTCCCAGACCACCTTGGCGGCGGGCCTTCGCCGCTTTCCGAGACTCAGTCACTCAGACGGGATAGAAGTTGAACGTAACCGTATATATATTCAATTTATAAAAGTTTTAACGTAAAATGGTTTGATTATTTATTTTAGACTCCTCTCATATACGTGAAATATTTGTCATAAATTCCGTACACCACGTAGAGAGGAAGGTGAAAATGAACATTTGGTCTCGACCAATAGAAAGTACGTTTGATAACGTCGATCCTATTGGCTGTACAAACCCTATCCGTTGGCAATAGATCTATAAAAATTCAATTTTTAGAACAAAGTGGCGACAAGACCCAAATTTTCACACATCATGATTAAGACACTGAACTGTGAGAAATAGTTACGTATCAAACGGTGCTTATATATGGCTTTATACGGCTATTGATTGGGTCCTGTACATTATTGCACCAATCGATAGAGGACATCAATACAAGCATGACGCGACCCTGAAGTACCCGTTACGACGACTACAATGGCGTCAACGTGAAGCAAACCTACCTAAAATTTATCGGTTTTTCAAAAACAAAATATCAGAAAAAAATACGAGTTGACTACAGGTTGATCTAACGAATCAATATTTTAATGGTGAGCTTATCACGCCGAATGGTGAGCTTATCACGCCGACGCTTGCAGACGCACCTTGGAACACACGTTACCTCCCCTTGAAACTGGCGCCCACACATGCCGAACCGAAACACTCCAAATACCTGGGGTTCCCACTCTCTCACAGAGTACCAGGAATCAACCTCGCCAGACATATGGAATCCCTGGTTGCAGCATTGTCACTGGGTATCGCCTCTTTCCGCGCTTATGGCTTCCATGGCTTCAGCTGGCGACACCCCCGCAACCGACTGGTGATGTTCAAATCTTTCATCCTATCCATGTACCCCGGCTAATCATGCTGTTGAAGTACTACTTCCAAATTTCGGTTCAAACTAAATCATCGCGCTTGTTGGTTCCGACTATGATACTTCTGATCCAGGCCAGCCAACACATACCGAATTCATCCGGGGTCTGGTGCGGCATTGGCTTACCCCCATCATCGCTCCTCGACCGGATTATGACGGATAACCTGGTCCTTCTCGGTATTTCGCACTCTGCACTAACCCATTCCGCGGCACTACACGGCGCAGACCCGATCCGTACAACAGAGTTGGGTACTATACTTAGTAGGTCAGCAAGCGAATATATGGAACATTCGATAGTAACAGTGTTTTGTCAACACCGGCCCGAATTGACTCAGCGCATATCTTCCATTGTCGACTAATTTGGCCCAAGCTTCAAACGGGAATTTACTGACCCCTTCTTCCCATCAATCTTTCCTGAACCACTACAGCGACTATGAGAGCCATACCATATGTTCATACATTGTAACCTACATACTTGTCATTTTTGAAATAAATAATATTATCCCTACACATGCCCCTTACGGATGTAGCCACCTACACACGTAGCAAAGGCGATTAAGAAGCTCGTCAAGAACAGTGATCATACATGTAACTTCAGTAGGAACAGACTGTTTACAAAGGGATTAAAAAAACAACAGATGAATGAAAGCTGTCACAACATATTTGAAAATGGGTTGGATCATTCATGTGCAATATCGCGTATCTAGTTTTAAAAATTACCAAAATGCATCGTACTATGTTCTTAGATCACCGTCAGGCTGCTCTTAAGTAAGCATCGGAGTTTGGACTATGCATGTTCAACAAGAAGGGAGAAAACGGAGTCGTGGAGTTTTGTTGAGATTGGGCTTCTGAGAAAATGCACAATTGGTTTCAGGCTGAGGATATGTAGCAGTCTAGCAAGGGTCCGTACGAGGAATCGTCTGACGGGACCCCGTAAAACCAGCGAAATCTCTGAATCTGGACGGACTTGACAGCGACTGTGGAGCGCAGCAGAAACTGAAAGGTCCTGTGGTAACAAAACCGAGTCAGGCTTAGTAAAGAGTGTTAAGTCTGAAATAAGTGAACTCGGTCAGAAGTGCCATTGGGAATGGCGCGCCTGCTATATTATTAATCATTTCGTCGATGTGAAACGAGACTTTCTCTACCTTTGGGTTATGTGAAAATATCCGTCTCTATGATTTTGGATGAGCCATCATTTTTATCTCAATAGTTGCTCTGTTTCACTAATCTGTCCGGCCCTCTGGCCCGGTCCTCCAATATTATCCTGGGTCCGGTGTGTCCTCTGTTCTGGACCTTAAATTTTATCTCAGGCCCGGTCCTCACAAGAATACGCACCCCCAGCCCTAACAGTCGGGGTCAAGGTACTGACGTGGGGTCAGCAGTCTATGACGGCAAGCAAAAGCTGCCGGAGGTCTCAGTGGTGTTTTGCGAAAGCAGCCGCCTGAGATGTCTAGGGGCGACATGCCTCCCAGCTCTAGTGGGATAAAGGGGTGACAGTGCCCCTGATGTGGTCCCGGCGAAGGTAGTACCCGGCGCTGGGACAGAGGTATAAGGTTTGTACTCCTCTATGATTCCTGATTTGGTCAACAGGATTGATCTTCTGTCCTACAGAAGCGATTGATGAGTTGGATAAGCCTGAGATAGAGGCGTGCGAGTTGGCGAAGCTAAAAAACCGCATGAGCTTGCGCGATTGAAAGCAATGACAAAGGCGAGGCGTATAACAAGGAGGCCCATCGGTTCCTGAAGGTGGTCAAGATTTGCCTTCATACCAAGCCGAACGTGGCGCCGGCGAGGTTGTGCTACGGGGATGGTCTTGATAGGAATCATCCGCAGCAGCTAGAGTAGAAGGGGAAGATAGACGAGATGGTGGCGCAGGGTGTTACTATCGAGAAACAGACGGACATGGATGTACTGTGGTTGTCGAAGACAGTGATGGCGCGGAAAGACCCACGTACGGAGCCGAAGACTAATAACGATTGGCGGGTTTGAACTAATTTCGCCAAGTGGCGCGCGAAGCTTGAGCAGGAGCCGTTCGGTTTCCCCTGAGCAGGATATGTTCCGCTGCCATATAGACGGCAAGCCCTGGGTGACTGTGTTCGGGAATGTATTTCTGAGATTGACAGCTGTTCTCCTGCTTCCATGCACGAAATACAGATTGACAAGCAATAATTCTACAACGGAAACCTACAACAAATACGCACACATGTACACACACACACAATCCACATATTACGCTTGAAAAAAATGCTGTTTTTTTCCAACACCAACAAAATAACAAACACAAAAGCAAAAAAACAAACAACACTTCGCTGACTTGAGACACGGACTGATGAGTCATCATGGTGAGTGTCTATGTAACTGTGCTCTAAAAAGCATATTATTAATGCTGACTTATAAATACGGTTTTTAAAATATCACGTTCTGGCGTGCGTCGGATAGACCAGCAGAATCATAGCAACGTATAACACATCATATATTAGAGAGATACTGTGAGGTAAGACATAATCACCTAGTAGCGAGAAGATGGCTGTACCTGAGGATTCGCTTCCGATGCGGAAGAGAGACAGACTTCGTGAGGTGTTATACCAAATTTTTGGGGGCCTCAACGTATTGATGACTTCCGTTGGTATCAACTTCCTTTTCATGGGCCCCGGAGCAATTGTGTGGTCGTATAGCTCACGCCACTACCGATTCTTTTCCAACATTTTGCAAGGTAGGAATAGAGTGGAGATCTTGATACTTGAAATCATGTAGTGAGGTGTTCGTTCAGGAGGCGTTTGACGATAAAAGTGAAGTGTGATGCCGTTGGCATTCGAGCACGTGTGGAACCATCATTCAACCGCAGATATAGGTGGAGTTGAAACAGAGAAAAGAACACTCAAACATACGTGCGCGCTCATGCATCTATGTTTACCTGTAAGCAGATATCTATTGTCATCTACTGTGCAGAAGATACTGTGTAAGATGTATATCACTTTGCTCGTATACATATGATATTTACTAAGGTACATATTATTTTATCATCTCTGACACACACACACACACGCACGCGCGTACACACACACACAGAAACACACATACACACACACAAGCACACACACACATACAAACACACACACACACATATATATATATATATACATACATACATAAATACATACATACATACATTTATATATATATATATATATATATATATATATATATATATATATATATATATATATATATATATATATATATATATATATATATATATAGATACATA